CCTAGTGGAAAGGCTCTCCACCTGTAACGGTGAGGTTTCGGGTTGTCACTAAGGATGAAAGAGGGAAAAGACACTGTTGGGCCCTTTGGCTGGTGGGGACTATATCAGAGAAGAGTCTGTTAGAGATTTTTGGGAGGAGGAGCACTCTCAAATCACTCAAATTCCTTTTCTTCTTTAGTTCACTCAACTTGCTTACATAAAATGGCTATAATGCCTAGGTATTTATAGAACTTTTCTAACACGTACCTAGTCTAATACGTCTATCTTATTTATTCTTAGAATATCTCCCTAGTTCATGAACCAAATCATATATGCTATCTTCATTAATTTCCTAACACATGAACTAAGTATATTCATGTACTTGAAATCGATCTTGTTTATATTTTCAACAGAGTTTGGGGGAGGGAGGGACTGAATACTTTACTTGATGTTAACATTCAAATATGTTATCCTCACTCCTCAACCAATTTCATTTCAAATGTCCAGTGGACATTATACTTGATAAAGCAATCTGATACGGTTATACAATCACCAGGATATAATTAAGGGACAAATTGTATGATCAATAATGCGAACAATGAGGAGCAACTACATTTGAAACAAGCACATGAAACTCCAAATATAGTCATATAACATCTCTTGTGGAGGAAGTGATGTAACATGCTTTAGTATATACCAGACCTTGAAAATGTGCCTTTGATGTAGCTGGTCGATGACGTAATTGTCTATCACGTGTTACATGCTGGTTTAGATTTTAGTTCCAGTGTAAACTTTCTTGCATATTAATTATTTCAGTCATTTATCATTTATGCATTATTATGATTCTGCTTCTCTCATTTCTCAGCTCTCAGCATGTGCAACTGATCTATCTCTGAAAGGGAGCCCTCACTGGTTGGCTCCAGAGGTATTCTGAAGCTACTTTCTATATACTGGCTAGCTGTTTCCTTTTTCTTGTTCTTAAGGTTTTCCTTTTCCTTATGTGCAGGTAATGCAGGCTATGTTACGCAAAGATAACAATCCAGAACTTGCCTGTGCTATTGATATATGGAGTCTGGGTTGTACTGTCATTGAGATGTACACTGGAGAGCCTCCTTGGAGTGGATTAGACGGGGTAAGCTGTGTTAATAAACTTTGAGCCATTAAGTTGCCACATAATAATAGCTTCATAGCCTGAGACGATATAATCATGGTCAACTGGCCCGATCTCAATGAAGAGGCTGGAAGTCCAATTTTTAGTTATTCCAGTAGTGATGTCTGAAGAAACCGTGTCTGGTTTTTTGTCACGTTTTAGGTGAAAGCTATGTTCAGTGCACTGAACAAATCACCACCTGTACCAGAAACGTTATCTTCGGAAGGAAAGGATTTCCTCAGGTGCTGCTTTCAGAGAAAACCTGCAGACCGGCCAACAGCTCTGATGCTACTTGAGCATTCTTTCTTAAGTAATACTAGTTTACGTGAGCATAGTGCTACTATTTCAGGTTGCTTTGAAGATTTCTCTAGGATGAAATTACATGTGAGTTTTACAAGCTGATTCATGTTTAAAATATCGGTATTTGGTATTGATTTCTCTTTTGTTTCTCGAGCTTTTATTAGTTTGATTGTTTTCTTTTCATCATAGTTAGACTTCATTCATTTTCTGTTAATAACACTTAAATAGTGTTATTCAAGTGGTTTCAATTCATTAGCTTTTCATGATATTTTGCAGAGTGCAAAAGACCCAACAAACCTTACTAAGGAACTTAATCTACTTTCACCAGGAACATCATCTAGGCAACCAAAATCTCTATATAACGGGTAATAGTGATTTTTCGAGTCCTTTTCTTTTTCTTTCTGTAAATGATTGGTTTTTGTCAAGAGGCTGCATTATATGAAATTATCTACTATCCTTATTCGGGTCAGAGTGGGAGTGTCTCCGGTGGAGGACAAGATGCGGGAAGCTAGGATTAAATGGTTTGGGCATGTGAAGAGGATGAACACAGATGCTCCTGAGAGGTTGGTGCTGGAGGGGGGGAGAAGAGGTAGAGGTAGGTGAAAGAAGTATTGGGGAGGAGTGATTAGGCAAGATATAGCGTTACTTCAGCTTACCGAGGACATGATCCTTGATAGGAAGGTGTGGAGATCAAGAATCAGGGTAGACCGATAGTAGGTAGTCAAGAGTTTTAGTGGTAGTCTTGAATTCTATTATTGTTAGATTTTTTTTAGTACGTATTACTTGTTGTTCCTTTCGCTTTGTTTTCATACTATCTTGTTGTTGTTACTGCTTGGTGCTCCTGCTTTTCTTTTCGTCTTTCGTGAGCCGAGAGTTTATCGAAAACAACCTCTATACTTTCAAGGTGGGGGTAAGGTCTACGTACACACAACCCTCCCCAGACCTCACTTGTGCCATTACACTTGGTTTTTTTTGCTGTTGTTATATTAACATCGATTGTTCCAATTAATTCGTTTGAGTTGTCTCCATTGACCATTATGCTTATCTTATGCAAAGGGAACTTGTGTTTCTGTTTCAGTGAAACAAGCCATCGATCACATTCTGTAACCTGTGACTATGGAGGAGCATCTTACCACTCTCCCCGTTCTACACTCGAAATACTTCCTTGTATTTCTTTGCCGGAGCTGAATCCCAGTTCACTTGCAGCTGGTTCCTCAAACAATCCCAATAGTAATTTGTTCCTTGGATCTGAAAACAGAAGTGCTTGTGTTTTCAACTGCAGGACTTGTGTATAAGATCATAAAGCAAGAAAATACGAAAGAACTTGTGTACATATTAGACTAGGTGAAATAGAGAATACTTGTAATATGTTCATTAATTCATTTGTGTTCTCGACATCACATGTTTATGTTTAAAGAATGTAAAATGGCTATATTTTGGATGAAGGTAGTAATTCTTTTTATAATTAAAGTTGTATAATTAAAAGGTAATAAATTTTATGTTTAAATTGTTTTTAACTAACTAATGAGAGAGACTACTCTGTTGAGATACTATTCACTTTCTTTTCAACAAAATATGCCAAAGATTTAGTACAACTTACATAACACAAGGTTGATATGTAAGAGGATGTGAACGTGAACCTTTGGCAATTAAATACAATCGACCTTGATATTTTGGTGTTGAATTTGGACAATGCATTTAAAGATTAAAATAGTGACCACACCAAGGTATATCTGTAATTTTAAGTCAGTGCATGCATGGTATATATAGCTCATTGCTCTTTTGAGACAATATGAGAACTTAATTACGTACTAATACATATACATATATTTTCATAATTTTTTTAATTTTCCACCTGTACTATCGTAAAGGTGAATCAGCCCCTGGGCCTAGCTCGGAATAGAGATAAAGCCAATATTTTGGATTCACAGGTGAAAGAAGGGCACAGTCGTAATTTAATTAAATGAAATCACAAACTCATTTAAGAGAAAACAATAACAATAATTACGTACGTTTCAATTTCAATTATGTTTGGGTCGGTCATATGAATTGTTCATGTTACTCCATTTAAACTCTATCTCAATCCAATATTATATAAAACTTAAGAAGAAAATTTTCTTACCACTAAGAATTTTCTATATTTTTTTTTACTGACACAGACAAAAGCTCTAACAAATTTGAAAGACTTCTAGCTAGGAATAGTAAGACCTAAAGTAAACCTATAAATATTTCCTAACAAAGACGACCAAGACTCGAAATCTATGGTTAATGATGAAAAAATATTTATCACTAAATTGTAACTCTTGGTAGTTGGCTTAAATGAACCTAACCGACACAGTCATGTACCTGAACTTCTAACGAGAATTGATGTTTCTTTGTTCTTCATTTTCAGTAACCTTTCCAAGTTTCAATAAATCCATGCCATCAATTTCACAATCGGTGCACCTAAGTTTTTTTGAAGTATTATATACGTTAAACACGAAAACTGCAAATTTTCCATATAAAAAATTTAACTGAAGGTAGCAATCTAGATAAAGTATTTTTTTCCTCTCTTTTCGAAGCAATCTAAATTTTCCTAGATTTGCCTCTGATGGTAAGTCTTTAAAACAAGTTCTAAAATATAAAATTTTCTCATAGATGCTGCAGTTTTTTCTACCTTTTCTCTTGTTGCTGTGAGAGGGCGAGATTATGAGCCTTATGCTGGATACTGCTAGGAAGGAAGCACTTTTGGCATTAAATTAGTAGTAATATCAATGAAGATGTTGCGATTAGTCAAATTTGCAGGATAACTCATTCGGCAATTTTGGGCAACTTATATAGAAAAAAAACATAAGAAAAGAAAACAAGCACACGAAACAAAAGAAAGCAACAAAATTAAAAACAAAAAACAGACGGTTGCTCATCTTTTGTGCAGTTACTTTTCAAAATATGCCTTAGATAAACCTTTTTTTTTTTTGGTTTTTCAACCGTTCGGTACCTGCATCGGTCTTTAATGTTAAATCCGGATTAACGTCGGAAAGCTAAGCCCTCCCTAACAAACAAGACTCTAAAATGAAGGCTCGAATCTAAAATCTCTGGTTAAGGATGCAAGAGTACTTATTATAGTTGGCTTAAATGAACCTAACAGATACAATAATGTACCTGAACTTCTAACGAGAATTGATGTTTCTTTGTTTTTCATTTTCAGTAACCTTTCCAAGTTTCAATAATTCCATGCCATCAATTTTCACAATCGGTGCACCTAAGTTTTTTTGAAGTATTATATACGTTAAACACGAAAACTGCAAATTTTCCATATAAAAAAATTTAACTGAAGTAGCATTCTAGATAAAGTATTTTTTCCCTCTCTTTTCGAAGCAAATACAAGTCAAACCAATTTATATCACCTTGTGTTCTAGATATTCTAGTAACTCTAGAAACAAAATAGAGGGAAAAGGAATTTGACTTTCCCTCTTAATTACCTAAACCTTCAAGGGTTATATTGTACGAACCACTAACTCGACTAATTTGCATTTACGTTTAGAATCCTCATAAAGGAACTTAAAGTGTTTCCTATTAAGAAGTTATGTTTTTCATTATCAGAGCTCAAATTCGAGACCTAACGAAGGAATCCGAACTATCCCATTACACTAACTCCTTGGTGATATATCATACAAAATATTCTTTAAATTTTCAATGAACTCTAACAAAGAAAATACTCAATTCTTGACCAGATGCACCATCAGGATTTATCATGTAAAAAGCTTCTGAATCTTTTGATCCAACAACCCTATCAAATCTTACTCTCATATAAGTCATTTCTCCATCAGCAGCACTCTCTTTTTGATCAGGTGGACAAGGAAGAACGCCTGCACCCATTGAAACTCCTCTCAATAATTGCATCACATGAACTTCATCATCAGTCATATTTTTCCTCCTTATAGAATACCCAAATTTCCTACCATTACAATAAACAGCCCAAACAAACTCCTCCAACACTTTCTTCTTAGGTGTCTTTGTTTCACTCTCAAGTGCCAATCTTACTATATCTGATCCCATTTCTTTGTGAAAAACTCCGGTGAGCATTGGTAACTCGATCACGAAAATGGGAAGACGGTGTGGATCTTCTTGAATAGCTAGACTAACTCTGCCTTTTTTGTAACCAAATAAAGTACCTGTGGTTGCTTTATCAGTTAACATTGGCTTTCTTGGACGACCTAATAAGGCTACCATTTTGCAACCAGTTGTTAACATGGGAAGAAGTTTAAACATGCGAAGAATGCCACCACCACTACTTGAGGATTTTCTACTTTTCTTGGTTTCTGTATTATTTTTACTACTATAATTGTGATGATTCTGATGATGATGATGATTTGTGGTACTACGTTGGAGTAATGATAATAAGGCAGGGTTTTCCATTTGGTTGAATGGGCTAGAGTATATAGATGACATATTGTGGTGAGTTTGTTTAGGGTTTTGGTTCTTGAATTGGAAGGCCATATCTTGAATAAGGAACTGGTCAGAAAGATGAATCTTGATGTATTGCTATTTATAAAGGATTTTAGTTATATATGTTGTTAGTGTATGAATTTGTATTAGTGTATTTTAACATCATGTAGCAGGAAATCAACTTGTCTTATTTTTTAAGTTACTAATTCAATTATCTGCGTTATATGTGGTAGTCTCTCCGCGTCCCAATTTATATTTGTGATATTTGACTGAGCACGGAGTTTTAAAAAAAAATAAAGACTTTTGAAATGTTATCTAAAAAAACCTTAGACGATTATGTGACCAAAAATCATCTCTCAATAAAGAAAAAATAGAAAGTTTAAAATTAACTTTATAAGGAAGTATGAAATTCTTTAGGTCATATTAAAAATGAAAGTATGATACATGATAAGACATAGAAATTAATATTATTTAAGTAATTTGACAGTATAAAATTAATGTACAGTATTAACATAGAAAAATCGAGATATATTTATTATATGTGTAATTGTTTGGAAAATGGATAAAAGAGAAGTTAAGAAAAAGGCAACTTTTTGGTTAGGTTGTACTTGTAATCTTTTTAAGTGGGGAATGGAAGACATTACTCCTAGTTGGTTAAATTGGAATAAAGAATAGAAAAGAAAAGAAAAAGGGAGGCTTTTTAAATTTTCTCCTGGACATTTTATTTTGAGGGTCCTGTCTTGGCCTTTGGATACGTTCTTGGTTTGATTTTCAACTACATATTCGATTTGGGAATAATATCTTATTTGTTATCTTTCTTTTATCTTTAGCATAGTATAATGTTTAAAATTGTCAGATTAAAATGGAAGGAAACATCATAGTATAGTGTTCTCATCTCAACCATATCTCTATACTTCGATTTACAAACAGAATAAAGTATCTATAAATAAGAACTTAGTTTATTTATTATTTGTGGAAATTATTAGATTTGTAGGAGTATAATATTTTATATGAAGTTACATATAATTGTGCCGACATCTAATAGTTGTCATTATGTTCTAGAAATACTAGGATTTGGTGTAAGAATTTAATGCTTAACTTTAAATTAATGTTACATTCCGAAGTGGAAAACATATACTTTGATCCTACAAATATCAAAGTAAGACCAATAACGAGCGAATTTTGCGAATCAATTGAACCCATTATTTTTTACTCATATTATAACAATTACTATTACTATGTCTCATTGCCAAACAAACTAAGTTGGGATTATCTATATAAATCTTATTGACTATCCGTACATACTTAAAAATAATTAAAACGTAAAACATTATGATGTTATTCTCATTCTGAATCTGCATTGTAAATTCTGGATTCACATTTAGCTCTATATAGTAAGCCACAATTATTACATGAAACTCATATAAGGAGAGATTTATTAAATTCTAGAAACAAGATATAAACGAAAACGGTCCCTAAGCCAAAATTTTGATGTGACCAAGTTCATTGAGGAATATAAATATTAAAAAGAACTTGGAAAGTGATAAGATAAGGATATATTGTCACACCACCAATTAATTTCTTGGGGGTGTGGGGAGAAGGTGAGGAAAAAACACTTCAAGAAAAGATGAAAAAAGTGTTCTTTTTTAAGTGATGCTTTGGTATTTGCATGTGCCTCTCTGATTATCACATGGAGTATCAACATCAATTCCCTTTATGCTTTTCTTTTTTCACTATAGCCTATAGGTGCAACTCATCTATCCCCAAAACTTTGCTAGCTAGTTCCTCTTGTCAATTTGAAACTCACTTTAATTTGTTATATTTAAAGTGACTATCCTTTTCATCACTCCATCAAATATATATCTCAATTTTTCTTTTATGATCTAGACTAAAGACAAGACTGATCACTGAGCCTAAGAGGTGCTCTGACCTCTATTTCCAAAAGTCGATTATGCTAGTAATTTTTGGGGAATTATATGTTCAAGAGTTTAACTTTTTCTTGTCTGGGAGAAGTTAGCTACGAGCATATTAGTGGCGGAGGCAAAGTTGATCCGTCACTAAATAGATTCAACGACGAAAAAATACTATTTAGTGATGACATATAACCATGGTCATCGTGCTAATTTTTGTTATTTTAGTGAGATGATCATTTACAATTAGTCTTATTAGCTAGAAACATGAAAAATAAAGCAAGTTTCCTTTAAAAATTATTGTTAGTAAAACAAAATTTAAGTTATTAGTGTATGTGATGAGTTAAATTCCGTCAAACTAATCTTTAATTCCGTCATTTAAGTTTTAATACGAGATACATTCGCTAGTTTGACCAACTTATAAGTTTAGTCAAACACCCATCGTACCCCTTTAGTATAATTTAATCAATTGTAGCAAATAAGTAATACATGTGTTACTTAATTGCTTTTCACTCTTGAAGAAAAGATCCCTTGTAACTATAGCCTTTAATGATATTTTTCCATAACTCTTACAATCAATCGGCTGTCAAATTAATAAGTGGCCCTTTTACATATTGCTGGTCCATATATATGCTAAAGGCACATCATATCAAAATGGAGACCATTATAATTGATACTCTTATTGGTAACTCAACAAAAAGTACGATGCTACCATATGCATAACTATTAGACAATGTGGCCAGAAATTCTTTTGCGTAATGGGATCGCAATTATGGACAGACAGTGGCCTACTTAATGCCACACCCTTATCATATATCACATGGATCATAGATTGAAAGGAAAAAAGTTGGCGGTAATGTCGATGAAACTTGTGCCATGAAATCACATGAACTTGAGGTCGGCAGCATAAATATAAAAAACTTATTCGCCCTATTAATTACAATTAAATAAATGTTGAAGCATATATAAAGATACATTAATTAATTGCAGTATAACAAAAATTAATATATAAAAACATATTATCTAGATATATTTTGGCTTGACATAAAGAGACGATTTTGAGTATATATATTTTTCCACTACAAAATGTGGCTTTGAAGCACACAACATGACATGAGGCCACAGCCCACAGGAGACAAAGGAAACCTACAAGGCTAAGACTCTTCTTCCTTAAAAAATGAAAGCAGACAACTTTGTTTGGCTTCCGGTGAAACATTTTCGACATAAAATATCTTTATTAAAAATCAATTCAATTAAAGCCATCATCTTCTTAATCTAATGAAAATTGTTTATCTTCCAAATTAGTAATAGCGTCTTATTAAATCAGTAAGGGGAATATATCTTTTCAATGTTTTTCTAGATCTACCATGATTTATCTTAGGCAACTTAGCAGAAGAAGCATATGATTTATGAATAGTGCAAGTGACGTAAATAACTTTTATTAAGTCCTCAAAACTAAAGGGAAAAAACTAATAATAATCCACCAAATTTTTCATTGTAAAACTGGCATGTCTGCCCACTCGTATAATTGTGCTAATGATGGGTCCGATTCTTTATGTTGCTTTCAGAGAGTTTGATGTTACATTTAACTGATTTTACTTTGATTAGGATTGGAACACTTGAAAATGTTTTCTATGGAAGATGTTTTCCTAAAAAAATTTCTTGAAAAATAAGTGATTTTTTTACTTTTTTTTTTTTTTTTTTTTTTTTTTTTTTTTTTTTTTTTTTTTTTTTTTTTTTGATATTTGGCTACTTAACAAAAAGGTTTTTTGAAAAATATAATCTAGGAAAACACTATGGGAAACGAAATGGGTGAAGGCACGTGGAGGAGCATGGCAGTGAGGTCTGGCCTAGGGTCAAGGCGGGGGATCGGGGTTCTAAATTGGAGTCAGGATCGAGGACGTGAGTCGGAGTTCAAATACGGGGCCAAGATAGGGGTTTAGGGTTGGGGTCCAGATCGTGTAGGGGTCTAGGGTCGGGGTCAAGTAGGGGTCAAGGTTTAGGGGTAAGATCGGTGATGAGGGTCAAGATCGGGGATAGGAGTCGAGGTCGGAGTTCGGGGCGAGTTTCCAAGTCAGGGTCGTAATCAAGATCCAAGGTCGAGACCAGTGATTGGGGCTTAGGTCAGGGTTGGGGTCAAGGTCAGGGTCAACATTCAGGATTAGGGGTCGAAGTTAGGGGTCGAAGTCGAGTTGGTGTAGCGGTCGTGGTTTAGAGTTAGAGAAGGATCCTGATTCTAACCCCGGATCATGATTTCGACCCCAACCTCGGACCCCAAACTTTGACCTTGAAGAACCTGACCCCAACCCTGATCTCAATCCCGATCTCGATCCCGACTCCGAATTACGATCTCGATGTTGACCACTAACTCTGACCTCGACCTCGAAACCCGACCTGAACCCGACTTCGATCCTGATTTTGAATCGAACTTAACCTTGACCACGAACTTTGATCCTCATACCCCGACCACAAAAACCAACTATGCTTCTAGCCCCGACATTAACCCCTGACCTAACCCTAACCCCTAATCTTGACTCTCAACCCAGAACTAGGGGAAGGGGGCCGAATGAGGAGTGGGTGGTGGGTTGGGGGCAGAGCGTTAGTTGGGGAGGGAGAGGTTGGCGGGGATGGGGTTTTGAAGATGAGCGGAGGGTATCGCGGTAGAGGTACGTCGAGAGTCTGGGGCCCAAAATGGCAAGGATATGTAGATTTAGGGGTGAGGGTAGGGGCGGAGAAGATTGAAAGAGAGTTTTGGCAAATATTTTCCCTCATCTAGGTAGGAAAGTCATTTTCCTCTATGAGTTTAAAAGGAAAATATTTTTCAAATTATTGAAGGTGACGAAACATGAAAAACTTAAAACAATATTTTCCAAAATATATTTTCATTCGTACCAAACACACCCTTAGTTCCAAAGAAAATTTGGTCTTTTAGAATGATTGCTTAGCCCCCCCTCCTTCAAAAACAATCTGTATGGTTTTTACCAATGAAAATATGAATTAATTAACTATGATAAGTCCCTACCCCACCACCACCCACCCTACCCCCTGTCTTCTTTTCCTCTCTTTCTCTCTCCTGCTTTCTTCTTCTTCCCTATTACTTCCCTTTCCCTTTCTTTCTTGTCTGCTTG